GCCTCATCTTGTGCTGCCCCCTTCTAAGGAGCAGCTGCTGCAAACAAGGAGCATTGAAAAGGGGGCAGACGCAGCCCCCCCCACCCCTCAGTGTCACTCCCATACCCAGGAGCTGGGGCCCATTTCTCCAGGGATCTCCAGCTCCATAGTCACTCCACTGCGATGCGTCCCCCCCCACAGGCTGTGGGAGGGAGCCGGGCAGCAGCTGCGGCCGTACCAGCCCCACGACTTTGGAGCAGCCTCCAGCCCTGTCTGTGAACCTCCCTCTGCCCAGCAACCCCCCAGACAGGCTCAAAGGGAGCTGGGTGCAGTTTGCAGCTGAAGGTGGCTGGACGGGGCTGGCCAGGGACTGAATTTTCCCTGGGTGACTGACCAGACTCATGTGTTCTGCCTCTAGCCCTGCCAGGGCAGTTCTCAGGGGCCACGACTCCCAGAGCTCCCCCCGCGAAAGCCACTCACTGGAATATCTGCCCTGTGACAGGTGAAGTCACAGAAGACACCTTGGGGGAGCTTCTGGGTGTGCTCACAAGCTCACTGCCACTCGCCTTCCCTCTCTCTGGGACACCTCACTTCCCGGTCCTGTTGGGCCAACTCCCTGGTCTCCCCCACGCTGAGATCCCTGCCCCCACGAGGAGCAGTACAGACACCGAACCTCTTCAGGTCCAAGGAGAGTGCAGTTTGTGTCCAGCTTTCTGGGATACCCCTCCCCAGATGGATCAAAACGCCCAATAAATTCCTTGGGTAAACCCCTTTAGCCATAAAAGGGGGAATGTGCCCTCTGGTTGCTCCCTCAGGTAACAATTATTTACACTGGGCAGGATGCTAAATAAAAGTGATTTTATTAAGTACAAGCAGTAGGATTGACGTGGCTATCGGGGAGAACAGGCCGAGCAAAGTAGATTACAAACTCAGAATACCAGAAAACATTTAGCTAATGCTAACCCGAAGTCCTCCATTGAAATTCATTATTTTTTCTTACCCAGCTAAGCCTGCAAGACGAGGGGAATCTCCCCTTCTTCGGGGTCTCCGGTTCCCTTCTCCTCAGTGTGCCAGCCAAAGACCAACACTTGCTAGTCTCCTATTGTTTTAACAATTCCCACTTTTGCCTGAGATGTTACTTGGCCACTCACTACCAGGTGGTAACTGGCTTCCGAAGACCAAGCACAGCTTAGAGTTAAGAACAAAAGGCTTTTTACATAAGATTTGATTTGCCCAGATTTCGAGGGGTCCCAGCATTGGAAACACCCCGGATGGCTTTTCTTCGCACATTTAAACCATGAAGCATTCCCCGTGCCTTATGTCTAACGTTACACACCAGATCCAGCGGATTATGTCCTGAAGATTGATAGGTTACTTGAAGCCATTTGTCCAAAGCATCTCCGAGCGGTGTCCATGCGCCCATTTCAAAAGCACGGGGGAAGGGAACGGGGTTTGTCTCAAGCTCTTCTTCCACCTAACCCAACCCAGCACGTACCCACCCCCTGTTTCTCCTACCTACCCCATGCAATCAGATTCCTCCCACCTGCTTTCCCAACCCAGGACACCTGGTAGAGACGAGCATCCCCAAACTCTCCTCCTCTCTGACTCCCCTCAGCCAATTACTCCCTTGCTCCTCATCTTCCTGAACTACACCTCTCCCTCCCAGCCACTAACTCCCTCCTTCTCTCCTCTTTTTCTCCCCTCCCTACCTGCTCTCTGAGCTCTGTTTGTAGCAGGCAGCTCCGTGCAAAGCTGCTGAGTGAGATGTCTCTCCTCCAGCCGACCAGCTGAGCTCCCTGCCTGCGGGCATAGGGTCACAAACCCACGACTATCCTGTTCATCTGGTGCCATACAAGTAGGCAGGTTCCTGCCAGGTGGCAGAAGCTCCTGTCCAAACCCAGAGCGCAGGGAGCCGAGCTGCAGCAGGCATGGGGTGTGTGTGTGGGGGGGGGGAGGAATCCAGTGAGTGACAGGAGGAGGGGAGTGTAAAAGAAATGGCCAAGGGCTGGGGAATGGTGGAGGAAGTGGCGAAAGAGGCAGGGACTCATTGGACTAGGTGGGGCAGAGGGAGGGGCTATGGGGAAAGAAGCAGGCCAGGACACAGGGCTTGGTGGAATAGGTGGGTAGGCAGCAGAGTCCTGGGCACCAGCTGCCAACAACGAGAAAGTTGTAACCGTGAGAGTAGCTCTACACAGATTGATTCCACCCTGGGTCACCCTGATCCCGCGCAGTAAGGGAAGGACACAACATCGGTCTGACTGTAAAGGACGTAATTCAAGAAGGGGGCCTAACACCATGTTACCAGCGAGTGAAGCAAGGAGCTTGGTCTCGGAGCCAGAGTCCTAGGAGAAAACATAAGACTATTTCTGGGTAATGAGCCTGAGCAGCCGGCCCCATATTTGTTTGGTCTTCACCCCATAGATGATGGGGTTCAGCACGGGGGGCAGCAAGAGGTACATGCTGCCAATGAGAACATGGACATGCAGGGGAAAGTTCTGTCCAAAACGGTAGATGAGGGAGGAGAAAACAGTTGGGATGTAAAATATTGCGATGGCGCAGAGATGTGAACCACAGGTCAAAAAAGTCTTGAGCCGAGCCTCCTTTGTGGGGAGGCTGAAGATGGCCCTGAGGATCTGCATATAGGTGAGGGCAATAAAAATGCCATCCAGACCTAACACGAAAAACAGAACAAAGAGTCCATAGGAACTACTGATGTGTGTGTCACTGCAGGCCAGCTTCACCACGGCGATGTGCACACAGTACGGCTCAGAGACGATGTTGGTTCTACAATATGGCCATCTCCTCGTCAGTAAGGGATAGGGCAGGAGGCCAAACCAATCTTGGCCACTGAAGACTTTGTCAGGATGGTGGAATGTCTCAGGGGATGGCAGATGGCCACGTAGCGATCCATCGCCATGGCCGCCAATATCCCAGACTCGATTGTTGCAAAGCAGTGAATGAAGAACACCTGGGTGAGGCAGGCATTGAAATTGATCTCCCTGGAATTGAACCAGAAGATGCTCAGGATTTTGGGCAGGATGGACGTGGACAGGATCATGTCAGTGGCAGCAAGCATGCAGAGGAAATAGTACATGGGCTCATGGAGGCTCGGCTCCATCTTCACAATGTACAGGATGGTGAAGTTCCCCAAGAGCGCTATCACGTACATGGCGCAGAAGGGGATGGAGATCCAGACATGGGCCGTCTCCAGGCCAGGGATGCCCAGCAGGATGAAGGTGGAGGGGTTGGTGAAGTCAGTTGCATTGGAATATGACATGGAGCAGGGGAGAAGGAATTGAAATCTGAGGCAGAACGGTGCTTCCTACATCTACCGTACGTTTCCCAGATTTCACCAGGCTCTAGGGGGATGGTCACAGAACCTGGATGGAGAGACAATATTAACAGGAGACATCACATGGACCTCTGGAGACTCTTTTCATGGGTTAAATGTATTCCCTGCTCTTCACACATAGAAAAGACATTTCCATTAGTCGGAGAAATGAAACATTAACCACCGATAGCACTGATATGAATTCCATATTTTATGTGTTAATATTTCCAATCCAAAATCATGTGGGAATATGGAATAGGTGCTACAGCGGAACAGAACTGTGGATACATGTTTTCCATCATTGCTCTTTGCTGAAAAGCAAACCAGAAGAGATTCTTGTCATACGAATTCCCTGTTGACCAGGTTACTAAAAATATGAGGGGGAAAAGTACAAATCTTTGACAAGTGAATTGTCGGGGGGGACCCCAATTAGAACACACTTCGGGGGAAACTCGTGGCTGTTGGTTATAGGAGTGTTATTAAAAATGTTTAAAGCAAACACAATCTTCAGATCCCCCTGTGATGCTCTTAGGTTGTAGTTGGAACACACAGCACTGTTGCCACCACTACTATAAATGGGAAAGACATCTTGCACAAGATAGGCCAATGAGATTTCTCCCAAAAGCTCATGGTTTGCTGGTTATGGTTGTACCATTTGTGCTGATGCATATTTTTGTCCTGGAAGATACAAAATTTACTGTGGGTCCGTGTTTCAGATGTTACTTCCTGGAGTAACACCCACAGAATCATTACCCAGTGCTGCGTCTATGCGCAAAAGCGGCCACTCTTGTGTAAAAACTTTCTGCGTGTCTACACTGGCCGCGTGTTCTTGCACAAGTAAACTGATGTGCTAATGTATGAAATCAGGGCTTCTTTTGCCAAAACTCTGACACTCCCGCTCAGGAATAAGCCCTTTTGTGCAACTGTTCTTGCGCAAGTGGCCAGTGTAGACAGGCAACATGAATTTCTTGCTCAAGAAAGCCCTACAGTTAAAATGGCCATTAGAGCTTTCTTGCACAAGAGAGCGTCTACACTGGCATGGATGCCCTTGTGCAAAGGCACATCTCTTGTGCAAAAGCACATGCCAGTGTAGACGCTCTCTTCTGGAGGAGTTTTTGGCAGAAGAACTCTTGCACTAAAGAGTTTTTGCTCAAAATCACGCCAGTGTAGACCTAGCCAGTGTGTTTGGGAAAGTCTTGTCAGGTTTCTTGGTTCTTCAAGTTAAAATAAGCTCTGCAAATGGAGCCACATCAATTGTACAGCTTATATCAAAATTGGGAGCATCTCCAAAGCACTTGCTTCGCAATAGAGCACTCTTCCTCTGACTTCCCATACTCCTCGTCCAATGAGGGTTACAGGAGTTGGAGTCAGTAGTCTCCAGCTTGACAACATTTTAACTTGATTGTGAAATAACTGCCTGTTGTGTAGAGGTAGACGAAGTTATTTCGGAAGAGTGCTGGTTATTTCAGAATAATGTTACAGTGTGTCCGGTTTTGGACACCGCAGCATGGAAGGCAGAGACCTGGGAAGGATTCTGGGGCAAGTGAGAAGGGTGTTGAAAGGATGGAAAGCAGTGCGGATGTCACAGCTGAAGGACCTCATAGTATTTCATTTGGAGAAGCGGAGATTCAAGGGGGATATGAGCAGCCTGCAGACCCTTCTAAAGCTGGCATGGAAAGGCAGAAGAAAGCTGTTCTTTCTTGCCACAGGGGCAGGGAGAGATTCCATCGACTCCAGCTGCTGCAGAGCAGATGGAGATGAAACAAGGTCCTACACAAGAGGACAATGGAAGAAAAGACTCGGAAGGGGGTGGAAGGTCCCTGGCTGGTGGGTCTCTGAATGAGGCAGGACCCCCACCCATCTGGGGATGATTTTTCCGTCTATATTGACAATATACACACTTGCTGTGAGGTTGATTTGTAACTAGGATGCACAGTTGGTGAGACCCTTAAGGGACCTCGTTGTTCCAGTGAGAAGCCTCCATTGCCAGGCTTTTAACAGCCGGATCTCCGAGGTGCCAGAGGGGGAGGGGCAGTCTCTGAGCATTCACACAGACGGCTCCTCTGCTGTGTGCTCACATCTCACTCCAAGTGCTGGTCCCACCCCTGTGAGTTCAGGCTGCCTGACGCTCCAGGGCCGTTTTCTCTCAGGGTGACCAGAGCTAACTACGGGCCGGGGGCTCAGAATGGCATCTGGTATGGCGCATCCAGGAACACCTGTGACCCCAAACGGTCGCCGGTGCCCCTGACATGCAGCCACCTCAGGGCTGGAGATGTCACCGGGGGTGGGCCGGGCTGCAGAAAAGAGAGGGGAGCTCCTCAGCAAGAGATTCTTACCTGGGAGTCCTGAGATGGACGCGTCTTCCTCAGGCAGGTGTGTGCCCCTCCCCTCAGCCCGGCATCTGCAGCAGCTTCCTCTGCTGATATTCGAGGCAGGGTGGGCGCTGGTTATAACACGTCTCTGGGTATTCCAGTGGGGTTTGCTCAGGCACTGGGGAGAAGTGGGACCTGAATGTAAACCGGCTGGAGACCAGCCTGTCTGTGCCCCTGGACTATTTACCCAGCTGTAAGCACAAGGCATAATTAAGGGACCTTCCGAAGGGAGAGGAGATCTCTTGGGCTCTGGGCTGAGTCAGGGAGTAATTGTCTGCTCTGAGCATTTGTGTGTTTTTAAGAATTTTACTCATTAAGAGAAAAATAGCAAGTATAATGTGTAGCTCTCCCCAGGCTGTGATGCTCTAAGTGCCAAGAGGGGATGGGTGATAATAGAGACACAGATCTGGAGACAGAAGAGTGACAGTGGACACAACACTGCCTTGAAGCACATGGGGCTCTCGTTAAGGCATCACACATAATTAACGCTCATCAGTAATTATCATGATCCTGTGCTGCCCCTTTCACTGAAGGATCTTAAGAAGCCTCAGTAATGTCAGTATATCTGTATGAACATAGCCCCATTCTACAGATAGGAAAACTGAGGCACGGAAGGATATGAATTGACCAGGGTCACTGAAAGGCTATAATCCCAGTAATATGTTTGTAATATCTTGACCACAGTCTCTGTTAAAAATCTTTCACATATGCCATCACTTGGACGGGCCTGGTCTGAGGCCCAGCTAACCACGAACAAAACATGGCTCAAAAGGAACAGAGATAAGAAGAAGACACGTCTTGTTTGTACAACTAAGGTATGTCTAGACTACACAGCTCCATCGACGGAGCCATTTAAAATAGTTTATCCGGCATAGGCAAAGAAGTAGGGATTTAAATAATCCTCGTTTCATTAAAATAAACATGGCTGTCACGTTGTGCCGACGATCAGCTGATCATCGTCACAACACAGCGGCCATGTTTATTTTAAATAATCCCCACTTCTTTGCCTATGCTGGGTAAACTAGTTTACATGGCTCCATCGATGAAGCCATGTAGTCCAGACATACTCTTAGACATGAAAGATAGTAGGACCCCAGGTGCAGGGCAGTAATTGGGGCCTCATCATGAATTATAGACACATAACTCTTTAAGAGTGTCCTCAAAAGTCTGCCTGACAAGTTCAGGCAGACATACTCTTAGACATGAAAGATAGTAGGACCCCAGGTGCAGGGCAGTAATTGGGGCCTCATCATGAATTATAGACACATAACTCTTTAAGAGTGTCCTCAAAAGTCTGCCTGACAAGTTCAGGAGGAGATAGCTGTGTATCCTCCCCACATACCAGCCAATGTTCGGGGAGGGGAGACAGCCAGCATGAGTAATGAGTATTGATAACTATCTCTCAGAGATGCCAATCCAGTCCAAGGGGGCGTGATGGATAAACAATCTGCCAGTGCTGTGTATTGTTTAGTGTTCTCTTTGTTTTAAGACCACAGAGGAATGTACCTGCAAGCAAGTTGGTCCGGGAGAAGCTATGGACCTGAAATCAGGATGTAACCTACTCACTGCTAAAATGATAGTGGAGCCCTAATATCTGTTTATTAGCATACATGTAAATCCGAGCCATGGGTGCAGCATTTATATAATCCTTTAGACTACCTAGAATCTATCCAGGGACTCAGGAACTCTCACCCCATCGCTTCTGTCCACCCATTGGCACCCTATATAGTCTATAGGAATCATGACACTCCATCAGTGCTCTGCGCAATAAACGCTCGTGCCTGGATCTACAGTGTTGAACTTCTGTTTCTTCAGTCACCAAGGCTATGTCTAGACTGCAAGCCTCTTTCGAAAGAGGCTCTTTCGAAAGATACTTTTGAAAGAGCCTCTTTCGAAAGAGAGCGTCTAGACTGCACGTTGAACTTTCGAAAAAGCGGCTTGCTTTTTCGAAAGAAAGCATCCAGTGAGTCTGGATGCTCTCTTTCGAAGAAGCCCTATTTACATTGAAGAACGCCTTCTTTCGAAAGAGGAACTTTCGAAAGAAGGCGTTCTTCCTCGTGAAATGAGGTTTACTGCCATCGAAAGAAAAGCCGCGTTCTTTCGATTTAATTTCAAAAGAACGCGGCTTGAGTCTGGACGCAGGGGAAGTTTTTTCGGAAAAAGGCTACTTTTCTCGAAAAAACCCCTGAGTCTGGACACAGCCCAAGAGAAAACATGGCCAGATGGCAGAGGGAATAAAGAAGCCCTGCCTTCCTGGACATGCCTCGGTCTGTCGGACTTGCTGAGAGGGAAATGGACTCCCAAGCCCGTAGGGACTGGTGTTTGGGCAGGAGGCAGAGGACAGGTTGGGTGAGGGACCCATCTGAGGTTCCCAGAACTAGCTGGGGTTTGTGAGCTCCCTGCTCCTGGGAGGTGGGACCTCCTTGACCTCACGTCTCCTCCCACCCAGAGACCTGCCAACCGGGCACAGCCAGTGGTCCATGTGAGGGGATCAGACATAGCAAGTACAGCTCCAACAGGGTGTCCCTGCGGGTGGAGGGCAGCCGGGGCCTTTCTCAGGGACTGAGGCCTCCCCTCCTGTGAAGCTGCTGTAGGAAAAGGGGCCGGTCAGATGCTGCCCCTTCATATGGAGCAGCTGGAAACAAGGAGCATTGAAGACAGGGCACACAACGCAGCTTCCTCGGCCCCTCCGAACTGGGAGCTGGGGCCCATTTCTCCAGGGATCTCCGGCTTCGTACTCACTCCACTGCGATGAGTCCCCCCCCACAGGCTGTGGGAGGGAGCTGGGCAGCAGCTGTGGCCGTACCAGCCCCACGACTTTGGAGCAGCTTCCAGCCCTCTTAGTGAAGCTCCCCCTGCCAGCAACCCCCCAGAAAGGCTGACGCAGATCTGGGTGCAGGTTGCAGCTGCAGGTAGCTGGATGGGGCTGCCCAGGATCTGTGGTTTCCCTGGGTGACTGACCAAACCCATGTGTCCTGCCTTTCTCCCAACCGGAGCAGCTCTCAGGGGCTGCGACTCACAGAGCTCCCTCCATGATGGCCACTTAATGGAATAACAGCCCTGTGATGGGGGGTAGTCACAATAGATCCCTTGGGGAGATTCCGGGTGTTCTGACAAGGTCACTGCCATTCGCCTTCCTTCTTTCTGGGACACCTCACTGCCCAGTCCTGCTGGGCCACTTCCCTGGTCTCCCCAGGCAAGGCCCAGAGCTGAGATCCCTGCCCCACTCCCCAAGGAGCAGCACAGACACTGAACCTCTTCCGGTCCCAGGCGAGTGCAGTTTTGGCCACAGCTTCCTGGGATACCCCTCCCGAAATGGGATCAGAACCCCAGAGAATTATTTGGCTAAGCCCCTTTAGCAACGAAAGGGGGAATGTGCCCATTGGTTGCTTCCCCGGTAACAGTTATTTATTGATAGCCAATAAAAGTGATTTTAATAAGTAGCAGTAGGGTTTAAGTAGCAGTAAGTGAGATCAGGAGGAGCAAAACAGATTACCAACATAAAATAAGAGAGAGCATTTAGCGAATTCTAACACTAAAACCTCATAGAAACTCATTATCTTTTCTTACCCAGCTAAGCACGGAAGATGAGGCAAATCTCCCCTTCTTTTGTGGTGAGGGATGGCAGGAATAGGTGGGTGAGGGAGCAGAGTCCTAGGCACCAGCTGCTACAATGAGGAGGGCTGTAACCCCGAGAGTTACAGAGCTGTATGCAGTCTGGTTCCGCCGTGGGACACCCTGACCCAGCACAATAAGGGAAGGACATAACGTCAGCCCGACTGCAAAGGGCGTGATTCGGGGAAGAGGGCCCAGTACCATGTTACCAGCCAGTCAAGCAAAGAGCTTGGTCTGAGATCCAAAGCCCTAGGAGAAAACTTTAGATTATTTCTGGGTCATGAGCCTGAGCAGCCGACCCCGTATTTGTTTGGTCTTCACCCCGTAGATGATGGGGTTTAGAATGGGGGGCAGCAGCAGGTACATGTTGGAAATGAGAACATGGACATGCGGGGGAAAATTCTTCCCAAAACGGTATATGAGGGATGAGAAAAGAGTTGGGATGTAAAAAATTATGATGACACTGATGTGCGAGCCACAGGTCAAAAAAGTCTTGAGCCGGGCCTCCCTTGTGGGGAGTCTGAAGATGGCCCTGAGGATCTGCATGTAGGAAATGGCGATAAATATCACATCCAGACCTGCGACACCGAATAGCGCAAAGAGCCCATAGTAATTACTGACGTGGGTGTCGTCACAGGCCAGCTTCACCACAGCGATGTGTTCGCAATAGGGCTGAGAGATGAGGTTGGTTCTGCAATATGACCACTGCCTCACCAGCAGGGGGTAGGGCAGTGACTCCATGCAACTGCGCAGCACCACAACTAGACTAATCTTGGCCACTAAAGTGTTTGTCAGGATGGCAGAATGCCTTAAAGGATGGCAGATGGCCACATAACGATCCAAAGCCATGGCTGCCAATATCCCAGATTCGACTGATGCGAAGCAGTGAATGAAGAACAGCTGGGCGAGGCAGGCACTGAAATCGATCTCCCTGGAATTGAACCAGAAGATCGCCAGCATTTTGGGCAGAGTTGATGTGATGAGAACCAGGTCAGTGACGGCCAGCATGCAGAGGAAATAGTACATGGGCTCATGGAGGCTTGGCTCTGTCTTCACAATGAACAGGATGGTGAAGTTCCCCAAGAGAGCTATGACGTACATGGCGCAGAAGGGGATGGAGATCCACACATGAGCCGCCTCCAGGCCAGGAATGCCCAGCAGGATGAAGGTGGAGGGGTTGGTATGTCATGAAGTTAGGAAGACAGCATTCAACTTGGAGGCAGAACGGTGTCTTCTACATCTACCAAATGTTCCTCTAACTTTCTTTATATGCCCAGACTCTAGGGTGCTGGTCACAGTACCTGGATGGAAAGATGATATTAAAAGGAGACATCACACGCACTACTGGAAGCCCTTTTCATTGGTGAAGCACATTGGTTTATACAATCCTAGGATTGGAAGAGACCTCAGGATGTCATCAAGTCCAACCCCCCCCCCACTAAAAGCCTTTTACACAGAGAAAAGACACTTCCATTATTTAGAGAAATGAATGATTAACCACTGGCCGTACTAATGAGAATTCCATATTTTATGTGCCAAAAATTCCTAAATACAGAATCATAGAATCCTCAAATCCTAGGATCTTCCTGTTGGAAGAGACATTAGGAGTCATTGAGTCCAGCCCACTGTCCAAAGTATGACAAATCTCAACATAATGTTGTAGGAAAATTTTATGATTCAGAGTCTCTGGGGGCATGTCTACACTACCCTCCTAATTCGAACTAGGAGGGTAATGTAGGCATACCGCACTTGCAAATGAAGCCCGGGATTTGAATTTCCTGGGCTTCATTTGCATAAAGCCCTGGGTAGGTGGTCTGTAATAGACCCCCTACCATGACATCACCCTTGTTTTTTACACCTTTTTACCTAACCCAGGGTTTGTCTACACTACCCTCCTAATTCGAACTAGGAGGGTAATATAGGCATACCACACTTGCAAATGAAGCCCAGGATTTGAATTTCCCTGTCTTCATTTGCATAAAGCCGGCCGGCGCCATTTTTAAATGCCGGCAGTTCGAACCCCGTGCCACGCGGCTACACGCGGCACAGAGTAGCTAGTTTGGATTAGGCTTCCTAATCCCAACTAGCTGTTCTCCTCGTGGAATGAGGAGTACAGCTAGTTCGGATTAGGAAGCCTAATCCGAACTAGCTACTCTGTGCCGCGTGTAGCCGCGTGGCACGGGGTTCGAACTGCCGGCATTTAAAAATGGCGCCGGCCGGCTTTATGCAAATGAAGACAGGGAAATTCAAATCCTGGGCTTCATTTGCAAGTGTGGTATGCCTATATTACCCTCCTAGTTCGAATTAGGAGGGTAGTGTAGACAAACCCTGGGTTAGGTAAAAAGGTGTAAAAAACAAGGGTGATGTCATGGTAGGGGGTCTATTACAGACCACCTACCCAGGCAGAAGATGTGGATGAGGCTTTTTTAAAACAACTCACAAAATCATTCAAAGTGCAGGATTTGGTGGTGATGGGGGACGTCAACTATCCAGACATATACTGAGAAACTAACACAGCGGGGCAAAGTCTATCCATTAAGTTCTTGGACAGCATTGAAGACATTTTTTTTTTATTTCTGAAGTGTGAAAAAGGTACTGAGGGGAAGCTGTTCTAGATTTGATTTTACTAAAAATGGAGGAACTGGTTGAGAATCTGAAATTAGAAGGCAGCTAGCATGAAAGTGATCACGAAATCATAGATTTTAAGGAATGGTAGAGGGAGAACAGCAAAATAGAGACAATGGATTTCAGGAAGGCAGATTCTGGTAAGCTCAGAGAGCTGGTGCGTAAGGGCCCGTGGGAAGCAAGAGTAAGGGGAGAAACAACCGAAGAGAGTTGGCAGTTTTTCAAAGGGACATTATTAAATCAAGCTGTTCTGCTGCATAAGGAAGTTAGAAAGTTTGGCAAAAGACCACATTGAATCAACCGGGAGATCTTGCATGATCTAAAAATCAAAAAGGAGTCGTATAAAAAGTGGAAACTAGGACAAATTACAAAGGATGAGTATAAGCAAACAATACAGTATGCTGGGGCAAGATTAGAAAGGCAAAGGCACAAAACGTGTTCATACTAGCTAGAGGCATAAAGGGAAACAAGAAGACTTTCTATAAATATATTAGAAGCAAGAAGAAGACCAAGGACAGTGAGGAGGCACAAACAGTAACAGGAAACTTGAAAATGGCAGAGGTGCTTAATGACTTCTTTCTTTCCGTCTTCACCAAAAAGTCTGATGATGAAGGAATGCCTTACACAATGAATGCTAGTGGGAATGGGGTAGGTTAAGAAGATAAATTTAAAAAAGAACAAGTTAAAAGTCACTTAGAAAAGTTAGATTTCTGCAAGTCGCCAGGGCCTGATGAAATGCATCCTAGAATATTTAAGGAGCTGATAGAGGACGTATCTGAGCCTTTAGCTATTATCTTTGAAAAATCATGGAAGACAGGAGAGATTCCAGAAGACTGGAAAAGGGAAAATCTAGTGCCCATCTATAAAAAGGGAAATAAGAACAACCCAGGAAACTACAGACTAATCAGTTTAACGTCTGTGCCAGGAAAGATAATGAAGCAAGTAATTAAGGAATGCATCTCCAACACCTGGAAGATGACAGGGTGATAGGTAACAGCCCACATGGATTTGTAAAGAACAAATCATGTCAAACCAAACTGATAGCTTTCTTTGATGGGATAACGAGTCTTGTGGATAAGAGAAAAGTGGTGGACGTGGAAGACCTAGATTTTAATAAGGCATTTGATATGGTCTCGCATGATCTTCTTATCAATGAACTAGGCAAATGCAAATTAGATGGGGCTGCTATAAGGTGGGTGCATAACTGGCTGGATAACCATTCTCAGAGAGTAGTTATTAATGGTTAGATATTCATCACCGCACCTCATTTGCATATGTTATTGTGCAGGAGAGCATAATGTAGACTTAGCCCTAGTGACAGATGAAGTGGGAAAAGCTGAAGTACACAATGCTTTTTTTTGCCTTTGTCTTTACAGACAGGGTCAGCTCCCAGACTACTCCATTAGGCAACACTGGAGAAAGAAGGAATATTTAGAAAAATTAGACATACACAAAACCATGGGTCGAGATTTCATGCATCCAAGGGTGCTGAGAGAGTTAGCTGATGTCATTGCAGAGTCTTTAGCCATTATCTTTGAAAACTTGTGGAGATTGGGTGAGGTCCCAGATGATAGGAAAAAGGCAAATGTAGTGCCCATCTTTAAAAACGGGAAGGACAATCCAGGAAACTACAGACCAGTCAGCCTTACCTCAGTCCCTGGAAACATCATGGAGAGGATCCTCAAGGAATTCATTTTGAAGCACATGGAAGGGAGGAAATTGATCAGGAACAGTCAGCACGGGTTTTTGCCAGCGGGAAGTCATGTCTGACCCACCTGATTGCCTTCTATGAAGAGGTAACTGGCTCTGTGGATATGGGGATGTCTGTGGATGTGATATATCTTGACTTTAGCAAGGCTTTTGATACAGTCTCGTGCGGAGGACGAGAGGGGGTTGGGCGGGCGGGAGAAAGCCCAAACGCCAGCAACACCAGGAGGAGTCGAGACACAGCTGCCATAAGCCCTAATGGCTCCAGGGATGGTGGGCTGCAGCCAGATGGGCTCAGTCCTGGGGCCAGGGAACCCACCCACCCCCAAAAGGGAGACAAGATTAAACTCGGGACAGGGCCCTACTATCGTATAGGAGGGAGACCTCGTCCCACATAGGCCATGGGGAGGGTGTGGCCGATGACACTCTCATGCTGCTGACATCGGGGTGAGGATGAAATAGCCCCCGCTCTCGGGGTGTGGATTTGGTTGTTTTGTTGCTGTGTGTGACAAGGCAAATGTAACACAAGGGACCAGATGGCACTCACCCAAGAGTACAGAAAGCGCTCAAATGTGAAATTGCGGAACTGTTAACTATGCTTTGTAACCTAGCCTCTAAATCAGCTTCTGTACCCATTACTGGAAGATAGCTAATGTAACACCAATATTTAAAAAGGGCTCTAGAGGCGATCCTGGCAATTAGAGACCAGTAAGTCTAACGTCAGTACTGGGTAAATTAGTTGAAACAATAGTAAAGAATACAATTGTCAGACAAATAGAAGCACAGAATTTGTTGGGCAAAAGTCAACATGGTTTCTGTAAAGGGAAATCATGTCTTGCTAATCTATTAGAGTTCTTTGAAGAGCTCAACAAACATGCGGACAAGAAGGATCCAGTAGGTACAGTATACTTAGACTTCCAAAAAGCCTTTGACAAGGTCCATCACCAAAGGCTCTTACATAAATTAAGTTGTCTTGAGATAAGAGGGAAGATCCTTTCATGGATTGAGGACTGGTTAAAAGACAGGAAACAAAAGGTAGGAATAAATGGCAAATTTTCAGAACGGAGAGGGGTAACTAGTGGTGTTCCCCAAGGGTCAGTCCTAGGACCAATCCTATTCAACTTCTTCATAAATGATCTGGAGATGGTGGTAAACAGTGAGGTGGCAAAGTTTGCAGATGATACTAAACTGCTCACAGTAGTTAAGACCGAAGGAGACTGTGAAGAACTTCAAAAAGCTCTCACAAAACTAAGTGATTGTGCAACGAAATGGCAAATAAAATTGAATGTGGATAAATGTAAAGTAATGCCCATTGGAAAACATAATCCCAACTAGACATTCAATATGATGGGGACTAATTTGGCTACAACTAATCAAGAGAGAGATCTTGGGGTGTGTCTAGACTACAGGGTTTTGTCGACAAAAGTGGACTTTTGTCGACAAAACTATACCTGCATCCACACTACCGCTGAGTTCTGTCGACATAACGTCGACAGAACTCAGCAGTTTTGTTGACGCTGGTAAACCTCATTTTACGAGGCATAACGCCTTCTGTCAACAGAGTTTCTGTCGACAGAAGGTGTTATTGCATGTAAACTGTCCTTTGCGTCTACACTACCATGTCGACAAAGCAGCTTGCTTTGTCAACAGAACTCAATGTAGTCTAGATGCTCTTTGTCGACAGAAGTTTTGTCGACAGTATCTGTCGACAAAACTTCTGTTGACAGAAGCCTGTAGTCTAGACGTACCCTTGGAGTCATTGCGGATATTTCTCTGAAAACATCCACTCAGTGTGCAGTGGCAGTCAAAAAAGTGAATAGAATGTTAGGATTCATTAAAAAAGGGATAGAGAATAAGACAGAGAATATCTTATTGCCTCTATATAAATCCATGGTATACCCACATCTTGAATACCGCTTACAAATGTGGTCGCCTCATCTCCAAAAAGATATATTGGCATTGGAAAAGGTTCAGAAAAGGGCATCAAAAATTATTAGTGGTTTGGAACGGGTCCCATATGAACAGAGATTAAAAAGACTTGGATTTTTCAGCTTAGAAAAAAGGAGACTAAAGAGGGATATGACAGAGGTCTATAAAATCATGACTGATATGGCAAAAGCAAATAAGGAAAAGTTATTTACTTATTCCCACAATGGAAGAACTAGGGATCACCAAATGAAATTAACAGGCAGCAGGTTTCAAACACACCAAAGGAAGTTTTTTTTCACTAAGGCTGTGTCTAGACTGCACTCCTTTTGCGGAAAAGGGATGCAGATTAGACACAGAGCAATTGCAAATGAAGCAGGGATTTAAATCTCCCCTGCTTCATTTGCATGAATATGGCTGCCGCTTTTTTCTGACTCGGGCCTTTGCTGGCAAAAAGCACCAGTCTAGACAGGGATCTTTTGGAAAATAAAGCCTTTTCCGAAAGATCTCTTATTCCAAAGGGAATAATCCAAAGGTCAAAGGGAATAAGGGATCTTTCGGAAAAGGCTTTATTTTCCAAAAGATCCCCGTCTAGACTGGCGCTTTTTGCCGGCAAAGGGCCGCCATGTTCATGCAAATGAAGCGGGGGGGATTTAAATCCCCACTTCATTTGCAATTGCTCTGTGTCTAATCTGCATCCCTTTCCGCAAAAGGGGTGCAGTCTAGACACAGCCTAAGCGTACAGTCAACCCATGGAACTTCTTGCCAGAGAATGTGGTGAAGGCTAGAACTTGAACAGGGTTCAAAAAAGAGCTAGATGGATTCATGGTGGTTTTTAGTTATTATCAATGGCTATTATCCAGGTTGGGTAGGAATGGTGTCCCCAGCCTCTGTTTGTCTGGAAAAGGGTGACAGGGAGGGCATCATGTGAGGATTACTTGTTGTGATCCCTCTCTCTGGGACATCTGGCATTGGCCACTGTGGGCAGACAGGACACTGAGCTAGATGGGCCTTTGTTGGACCCAGTCTGGCTGTTCTGATGTTCTTATGAGAGCAGCCTGCAAATCCTTCCATGGCAGACCCAGAAAGGCAGAAGAAAGCTGTTGTCTCTTGCCATAGGGGCAGGGAAAGACTCAGTTGACTCAAGCTGCCATGTAGCAGATGGAGAGGAAACAAGAGGACAATGGAAGAAAAGACTCGCAAGGGGGTAGACTTTCCCTGGCTGGTGGTTTTCTGAACAGGGCAGGACCTGCAGCTTTCTGGGGATGGTTTAGACCCAACAAGTCCTGCGTCTTAGGTGGGGGTCAGACCCGCTGCCCTTTTCATCCCGTCTGACCTTGTGTCCGTAGGACTCTGGTGTGGGCCAGGCGCGAGTGACGCACCAGTAAAACAGCTCAGTAACAGGGTGACTGGGTGACATTTAAAGGCCAGCGGGTCAGCAGGGGTCATCTGGCCTCACAGAGACTGGGTGGGATAATACGCAGGGCTGGAATATGGGTGTAGAAACGGCCCAGCAGGCTGTGGGAAAAGGAAGGAGGTTTTCCCTTCTCTCTGAAACATACAGGCACTTGCTCTGTGGCTCAACACAGACTGGTTGAGAGCCATTGGGGACCCATAAAAGGGTTGAACATTACAGAGAAGGCAGAGAAGGATCCACTAGACACCCAGAGCCAGGAGAAAACGGGTCTGGCCCATGTGGTTCCTGTGAGAAGCCTCCATCTCCAGACGTTTAACAGCCAGAGCCCCAAGATGCCATAGGGGGATGGGCAGCCTGTGAGCCGGCTCCTCTGCTCTGTGCTCACGTCTCACTCCAAGGGCTGGTCCCACCCCCGGGAGTTCAGGCTGCCTGAGGCTCCAGCGGGTTATAACCAGCGCCCACCCTCCATTCTCTCTCAGTGTGACCTGATCAAACTATGGGCCAGGGGCTCAGAATGGCACCTTGTACGGCACATCCAGGAACACCAGGTCCCTGGTGCACCTAACATGCAGCCACCTCGGAGCTGGAGGGATCGCCGGGGGTGGGCCGGGTTGCAGAAAGAAAAGGGAGCTCTTCAGCAAGAGATTCTTACCTGGGAGTCCTGAGAGGGACGCGTCTTCCTCAGGCAGGCGCTTGCCCCAACCCTCAGCCTGGCATTTGCAGCAGCTTCCTCTGCTAAGAGTCGAGGCAGGGTGGACGCTGGTTATAACACGGCTCTGGGCAGCCCGGTGGGGTTTGCTCAGCCACTGGGGAGAAGTGGGACCTGAATGTAAACTGGCTGGAGACCAGCCTGTGTGTGCCCCTGGGCTACTTACCCAGCTGTAGGCATAACGAGTAATTAAGGGACCTTCCGAAGGGAGAGGAGATCTCTTGGGCTCTGGGCCAAGGCAGTGAGGAATTGGCAGCTCTGAGCATTTGTGTATTTTTAAGAATTTTACTCATTAGAAAATAACCAGGGACAATGTGTAACTCTCGCTGGGGTGTGATTCCCTCTAAGTGCTGAGAAAGGGTACATGGATAATAAACACAGAGATCTGGAGTCAGAAGAGTGACAGGAGACCCGGCACTTTGTGCAAGCACATGGAATCACACATCAGTAATGCCCATCAGTAACCATCATGATCCTGTGCTGCCCCTTGCACTGAAGGCTCTTAAGAAGCCCTGGTCATGTCAGTATGAACATAGCCCCATTCTACTGATAGGAAAACTGAGGCACAGCAGGATGTGAATTGACCAAGGTCACCCAGAGAAAAGTAGCTGGATGACAGAGAGAATTCAGGAGCCTTGCCTTCCCGGGCATACCCAGGCTCTGTCAGTCCTATGGAGAGGGAAATGGACTCCCATTTCTGTGGGGATTGATTGGTTTTTGGGCAGGAGGCAAAGGAAAGGCTGGATGAGGAAGCCGGAGCCTGAACCATCCTCTCCAGGTGAATTCCAGAACTAGCTGGGGTTTGTGAGCTCCCTGCTCCTGGGAGGTGGGAACTCCCCGACCTCACGTCTGCTCCCACCCAGAGACCTGCCAACCGGACACAGCCAGTGGAGACACGTGAAGGGACCAGACTTAGAAAATGCAGCTCCAAGAGACTGTCCCTGTGGGTGGAGGGCAGATGAGGCCTCAGGGATAGAGGCCTCCCCTGCCCCAGAGCTCCTGTGGAAAAAGGGGCCCTATAGGCACGTCAGAGACTGAATTAGTGTTTTCATTGGCCTGTTCCTCTCCGCCCTCCTTACTGTGTGCTGCCCCTTCTTCCGGAGCAGCGGCTGGAAACAAGGAGCCCTCCCCACCCCTCCGTACCGCTCTCATCCCCGGGAACTGGGGCCCATTTCTCCAGGGATCTCCAGCTCCGCACTCAGTCCATTGCAATGAGTCCCCCCCACAGGCTGTGGGAGGGAGCCAGGCAGAAGCTGCGGCCATACCAGCCCCACGACTTTGGGTCAGTCTCCAGCCCTGTCTGTGAAGCTCCCTCTGCCCAGCAACGCCCCCCATAGGCTCACATAGGGCTGGGTGCAGGTTGCAGCTGCAGGCAGCTGGATGGGGCTGCCCAGGGATTGTGTTTTCCCTGGGCTACTGACCAGAGCCATGTGTCCTGCCTCTTGCCAGCTGGAGCAGCTCTCAGGGGCGGCAACTCGCCCTTCTTCCACCTCACCCCAGTGCCAGCACCCACCCGCCCTGTATTTCCCCTCCCTAGACCTTGCTGTTGGCTTCCTCCCGCCCCCATTTCCAGCCTAAGGAGAGTGCTGGGTTTCTGCCTCTACCTCCCCTCCCAGATCCCTCAGCCAATGATTCCGTCCCTCCTTCCCTCCCCCCACTGCCCTCCGTACAATTACCCCTCCCCATTTATTCCCTCCCCTCCCCTTTCTCTCCCCCCCTACTCTGGCAGCCCCTCTGGTCGAAGCTGCTGCTCAGCGGGACACCCCTCCCCCTGTCACCCACTGCTTCTTCAGCACCGGCTGCATGTGATTGGCTGAGTTTTCAGCCAATGAGAGCTGTGGAACTGTTTGGAAGGTGGGGACAGAGTGCGAAGCCTCCCCCTATCTCGGTTCTCAGCATTCAGCCTGACGAGGGATCCCATGGGCCGGGTCTGGCAGCTCAGGGGGCCGAAGGAGGCCCTTGGGCCGGGTTTTTCCCTCCCTTGCACTTGAGGGAATGACAAGTATAGGAGAGGTGCATTTGGGTGTCAGGAACATCCGACACCCTCAGCCCCACTCCCCAGCCCCCGCAGAGCGGCTCCAAGAGGGCTGGGCTGGCTGCTCACAGGCTCTTCCTGCTTCCTCTCGCATTCTGAGCCCGTGAGGCATTCGGTGGTCAAACCCACACAGAGGGGGCAGCTTCCATTCCATCCCCTCCCTCTGGGGCGGAGACCGTAACGCCAAACACCACATTCCTGGGATGCGCTCTGGTTCAGCCTCCAACAAAACCTCCCCAGAGCTCCCCTTTGGGAGCCCTCTGCGTCCAGCGTGTCTCTCTCGGGGCGCACGGTCCTTACAGCAAACACAGCCCGGCTCTGCAACTGGGGTTCTTAGAACAATTCCGCTGCTTTCCACAGCACAAGGGACACCCAGATACCGGGAAACATAATGACGTGTGGACCCCATTGCCGGCCTCTCCACCCTGGGGCTTTCTTTGGGATTCGGTCAGAGTTCTCTGGGATGTCTCAGGTCCATCTTCTCCCACTTCTGGCTTCCCCTCCCACCGGCGTCTGCCTCTATGTCACATCCCAGCAATAAATTAAGTTTTTTTAAAAATTATTGGAGATTGCTTATCTCCTACAACTGGAAGGGACCTTGAATGGTCATTGAGTCCAGTCCCTGCCTTCACAGCAGGACCAAGTACCATCCCTGACAAATTTTTGCTGCAAAAGGCCTCTACAAGGATTGACCTAACAGCCTTGTGTTGAGGAGGCCAATGCTCAAACAACTGAGCCACCCCTCCGCCCTGTGAAAGAGCGCCCTCTGCCAACCTTATGCCTTTCTCCTGCCCCCGCTTCTTCCAATCTAACCTATCCTGCTTCTGCATTTTACAAGTATTGGGGGTGGGTGGGGGATTCCATTACATCTACACCCCTCATGGAGCTGAGAAGCTGGAGAAAACTGGCTTTATCTAAGATTCAGTCACTCGTGTCTTCTATCCAGGCTGTATTTCTATAGGTGCTGCTGGTCTTTAATGACCAACGTATTTATTTTTGAGATGTAGACTAGGATCTAATCTGTGCTTCCCATAATGTGCCGTGATTAACTAGCTACTTTACCCAATGTTTCTTGGACCTTCACTTCAGTACGGGGTTTATTTTTGAAATAAAAGGAAAATGCACAGGCTTTACTTAAATGATTTTATTTTTCAAAAACACGGTGTTATTTTATTACGTTAATTCTTATTTTGGAATTCTTGAAAAAAGGACAGTTTGAATGTGCCTTTTTAAAATAATTTTTAAATGGGAATTCCATGAAATGTATTTTGTTCTTCATTTGTGTAAATTCTGAACTTTTGCTATGTTTGAACCCGGAAAGGGGCTTTAGTTAATTTTCTTTCTAATAACATTTGCTTCTAGTTTTGAAACCTTAAACATGGACTGAACGGTGCCAAAATAAAGCAGTACTCCAAATTCCTCTATTTTTTCTTGTTGATCTCAGGTTTATTGAGAAGCCCACCTACTCCAGGTCCATCCTATTTTATTCTGGCTCAGCTTCGTTCAGTCTTCTTCAACATTTCTTCATTAGGTCAATGTTGAGGACTGTACTAGATTTAGGAATTCTGCCTCTTTTCTGGTTGGTTGTATGGGGCACAATCCCATTCGAGGTACAGCCCATTTTCCTGATCCAACCAACACGTTATTTTGTTTTAAGGTATGATAAGAGGAAGGTGTCTATAGATTGTTGTGGCCATAGCTCTGACCATTTGGGACATTGGTTCCCAAACTGGGAGGCAAACCCCCCCGGAGTGGCATGAAGAAATTCTAAGGGGGGCACAGAGCAGCCCAGCCCTCCCATCATTCACCCCCACCCCAAGAAAGAGCCCGTACTGGCACTACCTCCTGTGAAATTGTCTGTAGCACCGCCTTCCTGAGGTGTGGGGAAGTCCTACAGCTGCACGCCAGAGCTATTGTCTCAAGAAGCAAGTGCGTGGCTTCCTGTCCCCCAAACAGCTGGTTCATTTTCTGAAACGCTGGGTCTGTCATGCTGCCGGGGACTTCCTTCCCTCTGTTGCCTACCTGCATGGGGAGTAAGAGTCCCAGGACCACGCCAGCTCCAACTGCTCAGGCAGTGCACGGCTACTGAGGGGAGTGAAGGGGCAGGCCATGCTCTTCCCGAGCAGTTGAAGCTGGTGCGGTCCCGGGATTCCTACTCCCCTCTTCTCTGTGCAGGCAGGCAGCAGGGGGAAGGAAGTCCCTGGTGGCATGACAGACCCAGCTTTTCAGGAAATTCGCCGGATTTGGGGGGGAGGGGAAGCAGCACACATGCTTCCTGAGATCCAGACCTGGCACACAGCTGTGGGACCCCTAGGTGCCAGCTGTCCCTGACCCTCCCTCACCCAGACCCCCATGAGTACCCTGCCCCTCCTGCCCAGACCCCCACTATTTGTGCTTATTTTTAATTTTAAATAACTTTTTGTGTTTATTTTTAGTTTTCAATTACAAATTGAATTTTTTGTTACAAGGGGTGTTGGATGATGGTAAAGAAGAGGTGGGGAGGCATGAGGGTTTTTCAAAACTCGAAAAGGGGTCATGATGTCAAAAAGTTTCAGAACCAGTGATTTCGGAGGAGTTCTTGATCAAATAGACAGACAAAGGGTATGTCTACACTACCACCCTAGTTCGAACTAGGGTGGTTAATGTAGGCAACCGGAGTTGCAAATGAAGCCCAGGATTTGAATTTCCCGGGCTTCATTTGCATGTTGCCGGGCGCCGCCATTTTTAAATGCCAGCTAGTTTGGACTCCGTGCCCGCGGCTACACGCGGCACAGACTAGGTAGTTCGGATTAGGCTTCCTATTCCGAACTACCTGTACTCTTTGTGGAACATACCCAAAGAGACAAATTTTCTACAATATATAGTAGACATTTGCTGGGGAGTGGAAGACGTGCACCAGAGCTAAGATTCCAAAATACTTCACTCAAAAAGGCAGTGGGTGAGATAAAACATCAAAGTGATTTATTGGCTACAGAAGGACACCTGCAGCAGGGATGGAGATGGGGAAGATCCAGCCGGCGACAGGAGGAGGGTCATATAAAAGACATGGTCAAGGGCTGTGGGACAGTGCAGGACGGAGTGAAAGAGGCAGGGACACAATGGACTAGATGGGTTAAAGGGAGGGCCCTTGAGAAAGAATCAGGCTAGGACACAGGGCCTGGGGCAAAAGGTGGGTGAGGGAGCAGAGTCCTGGGCACCAGCTGCAACAATGAGAAGGGCCGTAACCCTGAGAGTTACAGAGCACAGTAAGGGAAGGGCCCAACATCGGTCTGACTACAAAGGACGTGATTCAAGGAAGAGGGCACAGAACCATCTTACCAACCAGTGAAGCAAGGAGCTTGGTCTGAGAGCCAGAGTCCTAGGAGAAAACTTTAGACTATTTCCGGGTAATGAGCCAGAGCAGCCGGCCCGAGATCTGTTTGGTCTTCAGCCCGTAGATGATGGGGTTTAGCATGGGGGGCAGCAAGAGGTACATGCTGCCAATGAGAACATGGACATGCAGGGGAAAGTTCTGTCCAAAACGGTACATGAGGGAGGAGAAAAGCGTTGGGATATAAAAGATTATGATGACACTGATGTGTGAGCCACAGGTCAAAAAAGTCTTGAGCCAGGCTTCCTTTGTGGGGAGTCTGAAGATGGCCCTGAGGATCTGCATGTAGGAAACGGCAATAAATATCGCATCCAGACCCAAGACACAGAACAACCCAAAGAGCCCATAGTAACTACTGACGCGGGTGTCGCCACAGGCCAATCTCACCACACTTATGTGTGTGCAATAGGGCTGAGCGATGATGTTGGTTTTGCAGTATGACCACTGCCTCACCAGGAAGGGGTAAGGCAGGGACTCCATGCAACTGCGCAGCACCACAGCCAGGCCAATCTTGGCCACCACAGGGTGTGTCAGGATGGTGGAATGTCTCAGGGGATGGCAGATGGCCACGTACCGATCCAACGCCATGGCGGCCAATATCCCAGACTCAATAGCTGCAAACCAGTGAATGAAGAACAGCTGGGTGAGGCAAGCACTGAACTTGATCTCCCTGGAATTGAACCAGAAGATTGAGAGCATTTTGGGCAGGGTAGATGTGGTAAGAACCAGGTCGGTGACAGCCAGCATGCAGAGGAAATAGTACATGGGCTCATGGAGGCTTGGCTCTGTCTTCACAATGAACAGGATGGTGAAGTTCCCCAAGACAGCTATGGCATACATGGTGGTGAAGGGGATGGAGATCCAGACATGGACCATCTCCAGGCCAGGAATGCATGAAGGTGGAGGGGTTGGTGAACTCGGTTGTGTTGGAATCTGACATGGAGTTAGGAAGACAGCATTCAAGTTGGAGGCAGAACGATAGCTTCTACATCAACAATGTCTTCCTTTACATGTCCAGGATATAGGGTGATGATCACAGCACCTGGATAGAGAGATGATGTTAACAGGAGACATCACATGCTCTACCAGATGCCCCTTTCATTGGTGAAGCACATTGGTTTATAGACTCCTAGGGCTGGAAGAGTCCTTAGGAATCATTAATCCAACCCTCTGCTAAAAGCTATAGATAGAAAAGTCACTTCCATTATTTAGAGAAATTAATAATTAACCACTGGCCCTACTAATGAAAATTCCATATTTTATGTGTCAATAATTCCTAAACATAGAATCCGATGGTTGGAAGAGACCTCAGGAGTGAAGGAGTCCCACCCACTGCCCAGTGCAGGACCATGCTCAGCATAATGGTGTGGGAAAATTTAATGGTGTGATGTTGAGAGTCTCTGGGTTACCTTAAATGGAGTAAAAAACAGCAGTGATGTCATGCTAGGGGTCAACTACAGAGCACCTACCAGGTAGAAGAGGTGGACGAGGCTTTTTTAAAACAACTCACAAAATAATCCAAAGCACAGGATTTGGTGGTGATGGGGGACGTCAACTATCCAGACATATGCTGGGAAACTAACACAGCAGGGCAGAGACTATCCAATAAGTTCTTGGACTGCACTGAAGAAAATTCTTTTATTTCAGAAGGTTGAAAAAGCTCCTGGGGAGAAGCTGTTCTAGATTTGATTTTAATAAATAGGGAAGAGCTGGTGGAGAATTTGAAAGTGGAAGGCAGCTTAGGTGAAAGTGATCATGATTCTAAGACATGGTGGAAGGGAGAACAGTAAAATAGAGACAATGGATTTCAGGAAGGCAGATTTGAGTAGACTCGGAGAGCTGGTAGGTAAGGTCCCATGGGAAGCAAGATTAAGGGGAAAAACAACTGAAGAGAGTTGGCAGTTTTTCAAAGGGACATTATTAAGGACCCACAAACAAGCTATTCTGCTGCGTAGGATGGATAGAAAGAATGGCAAAATAATGCCTTGGCTTAAGTAGGAGATCTTGCATGATCTAAATATAAAAAAGTAGTCTCATAAAAAGTGGTAAGAAGGAGAAATTACAAAGGATGAATATAAGCAAACAATATGGGAATGCAGGGGCAAGATTAGAAAGGCAAAGGCCCAAAATGAGCTCAAACTAGCTGCAGATATAAAGGGAAACAAGAAGACTTTCTAGAAATATATTAGAAGCAAGAGGAAGACCAAGGACAGGGTAGGCCCACTGGTCAGTGGGGAGGGAGAAACAGAAACAGGAACCTTGGAAATGGCAGAGGTGCTTACTGATTTCTTTGTTTCAGTCTTCACCAAGAAGTCTGATGATCAAGCAATGCCTAACATAGTGAATGCTAGTGGGAATGGAGTAGATTTAGAAGATAAAATAAAAAAAGGACAAGTTAAAAATCACTTAGAAAAGTTAGATGTCTGCAAGTCACCAGGGCCCGATAAAATGCATCCTCAATGCTCAAGGAGCTGACAGAGGAGGTATCTGAGCCTTTAGCCACTATTTTTGAAAAATCATGGAAGACAGGAGAAATTCCAGAAGACTGGAAAAGGACAAATCTAGTGCCCATCTATAAAAAGGGAAATAAGAACAACACAGGAAACTACAGACCAGTCAATTTAACTTCTGTGCCAGGAAAGATAATGGAGCAAGTAATTAAGGAATTCATCTGCAAATATCTGGAAGAAAATAAGGTGACAGGTAACAGCCAGCATGGATTTGTAAAGAACAAATCAGGTCAAACCACTCTGATAGCTTTCATTGATGGTGGTGGACGTGGTATATACCTAGACTTTAGTAAGGCATTTGATACGGTCTCACATGATAATATTATCAATAAACTAGGCAAATACAACTTAGATGGGGTTACTATAAGGTGGGTGTGTAACTATCTGGATAACAATTCTCAGAGAATAGTTATTAACCGTTCACAATCCTGCTGGAAGGGCATAACAAGTGGGGTTCCGCAGGGGTCTGTTTTGGGACCAGTTTTGTTCAATATCTTCAACAATGATTTAGATATTGGCATAGAGAGTACACTTATTAAGTTTGGAGATGATACCAAGCTGGGTGGGGTTGCAAGTGATTTGAAGGAAACATTCAAAATTCAAAAAGATCTGGACAAACTAGAGAAATGGTCTGAGGTAAACAGGATGAAGTTTAATAAAGACAAATGCAAAGTGTTCCACTTAGGAAGGAACAATCCATTTCACACATACAGAATGGGAAGCGACTGTCTAGGAAGGAGAACAGCAGAAAGGGATCTAGGGGTTATAGCGGACCACAAGCTAAATATGAGTCAACAGAGTGACACTATTGCAAAAAAACAAACATGATTCTAGGATGCATTAACAGGAGTGTTATGAGCAAGAAGTTATTCTTCCACTCTGCACTGATTAGGCCTCAGTTGGAGTATTATGTCCAGTTCTGGGCACCGCATTTCAAGAAAGATGTGGAGAAATTGGAGAAGTCCAGAGAAGAGCAACGAGAATGATTAAAAGTCCAGAGTGCATGAGCTATGAAGGACGACTGAAGGAATTGGGCTTGTTTAGTTTGCAAAAGAGCAGATTGAGAGGGGACATGAGAGCAGTTTTCTGGTATCTAAAAAGGTGTCACAAGGAGGAGGGAGAAAAGTTTTTCTCCTTGGCCTCTGAGGATAGAACAAGAAGGAATTGGCCTAAGTTGCAGCAAGGGAGGCTCAGGTTGGAGTTAAGGAAAAACTTCCTATCTGTCAGGGTTGTTAAACACTGGAATAAATTGCCTAGGGAGTTTGTGGAATCTCCCTCTCTGGAGATATTTAAGAGCTGGTTGGATAGACACCTGTCAAGGAGGGTCTTGATCCTCTGTGAGGACTCGTTGACCTCTCGAAGACCCTTCCAGTTCTAATGATCTATGATTCTATGAATAGCCACAAGAGCAGAACAGGAATGCGGACACTTGATTGCCTCATTGCTCCTTAATGAAAGAAAAACCAGGATAGAGATTTCATGCTGTACAGAGTTCCCCAGTTACTTGGTAGTTCAAAATGTGAGAATGGGAAAAAAACACAAATCTTTGACAAGTGCTTGGAGAAACTTGCTTACTAGAATACACTTCAGGAAACACTCCTGTCTGTCACTGGAAAGAATGTCCAAAGCAAAGACACCTTTCATATACCCATGTGCTGTTCAAACATGCAGAGCACTATTGCAACCACTGTAACATGCTTTGTTCAACATCTTTATTAATGACCTAGATGAAGGGATGGATTACACCCTCAGCAAGTTCATAGATGACACTAAGCTGGGGGGAGAGGTAGATACGCTGGAGGGCAGGGATAGGGTCCAGAGTGACCTAGACAAAGTGGAGAATTGGACCAAAAGAAACGTGGTGAGATTCAACTAGGATAAATGTAGAGTCCTGCACTTGGGGCGGAAGAATCCCAAGCGTTGTTACAGGCTGAGGACTGACTGGCTAAGAAGCAGTTCAGTAGAAAAGGACCTGGGGGTTACAGAGGATGAGAAGCTGGAGATGAGTCAATAGGGCGCCCTTGTAGCCAAAAAGGCTAAGGGAATATTAGTTTCTATTAGGAGGAGCATTTTCAGCAGATCCAGAGAAGTGATTATTCCCCTTTATTCAGCATTGGTGAGGCCACATGTGGAGTATTGCATCCAACTCGGGGGCCCCACTATGGAAAAGATGTGGATGCATTGGAGAGGGTCCAGTGGAGGGCAACCAAAATGATGAGGGGGCTGGAGCACATGATGTACGAGGAAAGGCTGAGGCAGTTGTGTTTGTTTAGTCTGCAGAAGAGAAGAGTGAGGGGGGATTTGGTAGAAGCCTTCAACTTCCTAAAGTGGGGTCCTAAAGAGGAGGGACAGATGCTGTTCTCAGCGGTGACATATGGCAGGACAAGGAGCAATGGTCTCAAGTCACGATGGGGAAAATCTAGGTTGGATATCAGGAAAAACTACTTTACTAAGAGGGTAGGGATGCACTGGGCTGGGTTCCCTAGGGAGATGGTGGAATCTCCATCCCTAGAGGTGTTATGCTCCACCTTGACCAAGCCCTGGCTAGGCTGATCGTATTGGGGCTGGTCCTGCTTTGCACAGGGAGCTGGACTTGGTGACTCCTGAGCTCTCTTCCAACCCTACACTTCTATCAATCAGTGACTGCTGAGAATATCAATAAAGGGTGAATTAATCAGAGACAGGGCTACTTGCAGCCCAATATTGAGGATCCTCCACTGTAAGGCACAGAACCAGTCCCAGAGAGCACGTCTATGCCCCACACCCACTAACAAGAAGCCATAAAGGCAATTTCCTCCACCACTCCAGGTCACCTGTACCACCACCAGCGACTCTCGGGGTACATCTGGACTACATCCCTTTTTTGGAAAAGGGATGTAAGTTAGATGTATCAAAATTGCTAATGAAGCAGGGATTTAAATATCTCGTGCTTCATTAGCATAAACATGGCTGCCGTTTCTTTTCGTCTTGAAGCTTTGTCGGACAAAAGCAGCAGTCTAGAGGCTGATTGTTCACTGAAGAAAGCCTTTTCCAATAGATCCCTTATGCCTCGTAAAACGAGGTATACAGGATCTACCGGAAAAGGCTTTCTTTAGTGAACGATCAGCCTCTAGACTGCCGCTTTTCTCTGACAAAGCTCCATGCTGAAAAAAAGTGGCGGCCATTTTATGCTAATGAAGTGCAGGGTATTTAAATCCCCGCTTCATTATCAATTTCGACCTGCCTAATCTGCATCCCTCTGCCGGCAGAGGGGTGCTGTCT